CACTGCATGTAGCTTCTCTGGAGTGAAGTCATTTGACAAAATAGTTCATCTCTGGGGACAAGCTGAGGTAAATGAAATTAAATTCCTTTAATGATTTTATTTCCTTTAATGATTTTATTTCATTTTATTTATGGATTCATAAACCCATATTTATTGTAAAATGAAAAGAAATGAGATCACACAGCTTTGTTCAGTGAGTTACCATTAGCTAGTTAACTGGCAGAATCAGAGCTTTATTTTCATCTTTTGAATCCCAGTGACAGAGACCATTATTCTAAGTAATGACTTTCCATCAAAAATTTAATGTACTTTACAAACTTTTATTTCAGGCATTGGTTTTATTTAAGACAAAAAAATCCAAAACAGAGAGAGTTAAAACCATTTTCTCAGTCGGCAAGACAGGACTGTCCACAGGGACCTATTTTGCATTTCCATTCACTGGCTTAAGGAATGACACGCCCAGCCCATACTCTTCCACACCAGCCTCTCATAGATTCCCTCTCTGTCTTGTTGATTTACATCCTGTCTCCTGTACCCTGAACACTCATTGAAATTAGTGAGAAAACTCAAAAAGCTCATTGTTTTTGAGATGAGAGGAAGAGAAAAATGAATACTAAAATTAGAGAAGTAAAGTTTCTGGGAAATTTAAAGATTCAGGTGAAAATTTTATAAGGTTTGTAAAAATCACACTTAGTAATAAGTATATATTTAAAAAATTCCCCTAATATTCTAACATCATTTACATATCAGAAGTCATATGTCACAACAAAATATGCAAGATATAAAGAACCAGTAAAGAAAAAAGTATGGAAACTGATGACTGGATCAAGAAAATGTGGTACATATACACAATGGAATATTACTCAGCAATCAAAAAGATAAACACATGCAGTTTGCAGCAACATGGATGGAGCTAGAAGCGATCATGCTCAGCGAAATAAGTCAGAAAGAAAAAGAAAAATACCAGATGGTCTCACTCATAGCAGGAATTTAGAAAACCTAAATAAGAGACCAGGAAAAAGACTAATCAATACAAAGTAAAAATCAAAATCAACAAGTAACTATAAACCAGAGGCACACTACGGGTGGGGGGAGAGGGGGTGGGGAGAGGAAGGACTAGAGTCAAAATAAGAGGGGGTGCAATTGTAAGGGGAATATAACCAAAATGAAAATGCATACATTGTGCAAAGATGAAAAAAGATGTAAGAATTATATAAAATAAAATACTAAAAAAAAAAGTATGGAAACTTCCCAAAATGATCGTAGAGAGATTCTTTTCTCCTCTGTTTTGAGTTGTGGTTGGTTTGTTTTTTGTCTTCATGTGGACTTTATATCTTCACTCTAAACTCAAGTCACACATGAACAGTGCCTTGCGTTCCCACAGAGAGGCAGCAGAATCTGGGGTCCAAGAGATGGTTGGGTAGGCTCTGGCCCCACATCATGGAACATTTTCTGATTCACACTGATGGACTGACCACAGGAACGGTCTAGCCCTCAGTTGGCACTGCCCAAAACCAGAATCCACATCTTCCAAATCCAGACCTTCACAACTTGAAAAAAGCAGTGTTGTTCACACAAGGCCAACTCTCTAGACCTGGCCTGCTTGCAGTTCTTTCTCTCGTCCCCTCTAATGGAAAAATTGGCAGTGTAGCATATCCTACCAAACCCCAGAAAATGAGGATCGCCTTCCCAGGAAAGTTCACTGCCTCAGAAGACAGTGAGAAAAGACCAAAAAGACTCTGACCTCACAGAAAGAAAAAGAAAAATACCGGATGGTCTCACTCATAGCAGGAATTTAGAAAACCTAAATAAGAGACCAGGAAAAAGACCAATCAATACAAAGTAAAAAGCAAAATCAACAAGCAACTATAAACCAGAGACACACAGGGCGGGGGGGTGGGAGAGGGTAGGAGGGGAGGGGAGAGGAAGGACTAGAGTCAAAATGGGGGGGTGGAATTGTATGGGGACTATAACCAAAATGAAAATGCATACATTGTGCAAAGATGAAAAATGATGTAAGAATTGTATAAAATAAAATATTAAAAAAAAAAAAAGACTCTGACCTCAGAGAAGACAAACCTAAATTCTGCCCTGAGCAAACTGCTGTTTGTCCTCAAGCATCTGTCCCCTCATCTGTGAGGATGTTTGAGGTTTTAATAAGAGGAAATAGTGCATTGGATTCTCTCTGTAGTACATAGAATGTGAAAATAATTTTTTTAAAGATTTATTTATTCACACAAGAGCTGGGGTACAGGCCAGAGATGCAGGGGGTGAGAGGATTCACCAGAGACAGAGCGGGGAACAGAACAGACAGACTGACTGAAACACACTGCTGAGGGGAGCAGCAGGCGAGACAGGAGAGGTCTGCCACACCATGTGGATATCTCCCTGGCCAGCGGGAATCGAACCCACACTGCAGAGGTTGCAGACAGCTTCACAGTGCTGCACTCAACCCGCTGTGCCACCGGGGAGGCCTGAGAAAATAATTTTTACTAAAACCCTAAGTATAAACTGAGAACCAAGTGATTTGATTCACTGCCTTCACTAGTATGATACTTGGAAAGATACAGGCAAATATTTTTGCTCTGGAACCCATTTGTTACAACAGTGAGAGAATAAATGTAGCCATTTGAAGTACTGTGAAAAAGACACTTTCTACTTAACATCTATATTTTTTGGCTTAGAAAGTTGATACAAGAGCTCAACTCCTCTCAACTTTAAGATATATCTGTAGGAATAAATTTTGCTTCCAAGTAATACACATCTCACTTTAATAAATATAATTAATAACAATTTTCATGAGTCTATCATTCAGAGTTCTAACCATTCAGAGTTGAAAAGACTTTGGAAGTCAGCCTTTGACCACTTTACTGTGACTAAGTGACAGCAAAATTCCAAAACATGAAAGGATTGGGTAATTCTCATGTACTCATTTACCCAATCCAGAGGACAGGGCTGGGCAGATGGAAAAATTATCTCTTGCTTCTGCTCTTTTCTCTAACATTTAACACCAGGCAGGAGAAATCAGGGTATTAATAGCCATAATGAATTTAAAACCTTGTCCTGAAAGCATTAATTTCCCAACTTCTTTCTCCCCACGTCAGAGAATCATCACATCATTTGCCAGCAAGGTCAAGACATATGTTTGTGGTCTTCCTCACTCACCAGGCTCCAATCTCCACCCACATCGACACCTCTAACTGCCCCTATGTTATACCTCACTCATTTTGCACCTTCTCTTCTGATCCATAAAACAAGGCTACGGGGGTCCCTGTTACTGGCTTAACATTTAACTAAAGTCACTATAGCAACGCTAAGGCAGGAATATCATCTGTTTCCAGATGGGAAAACTGAGATTAAGACTAGAACCTGGGGTTTCTAAGTTTATAGCCAGGAATCCTGCAGACTTTATTTCCGGAGAGGTGGATGTTTGCGGATCCATTAGCAAAAGTGGTTAAAGAAGACTAAAAGGCAGAAATCTTCCCACTTGCACCAACTCCCTGGAGGAAACACAACAACTCTGAGGCTTTGGCTTATAACCAGAAGGTGGCAGCGGCAGTGGGGCAAGTTGGAGCTTTCAAGTCATTAGGTCAGCCTTAAAGTACATAAGTAACCACTGTGTGACCCCACAAAGAGGGACTGGGCTCTGACACATAAGTATGTCATTCCTCTTAAACCCCTGAAGGAAATGAGTGATAAAAGAACTAGGATGGAATGTAAACTATTTCTTAAGGACACAGACTAGAATCTTCCTTCTTTCAAAAGTTCCCCTCCCAAGAGAACATGGGCCCATCCTCTCTCCTTGATTCTTAACCAGGGCCATACAGACTCCCTATTAAAAGGAGGAAGGGGCTGGAGGGATGTGTCTAGGAGCACATAGGAGTCACAGAATCTAGATGAGGCAGTAGCACTTCCAAGCCTAGGGAAGGTCCCTTTCCCAATGTTGTGAATGTCACTGATTTCTCCTAAGACTTCCCTGAGATCTCCTCCACATCCATTTTCTACATGCCCCAAGAGTCCCCCTCCTTCATCTCAGCCCACCAATCCCAACACACACAGTATTCCTCACTTTTACCCCCTTCACTGGCACAAGTGCAAAGTATAGCAAGATCCCTTGCTGTGGTGAAAAAAGAGGAGGGGAAGCCTAGCTCTTAATTTTGTCTGCCATTTTGGGAACAGTGCCCCTGAGCTGGGTGAAGAGGCAAGAAGGGCTCAGGTACCAGCATGAGGAGGAGAATGAGACAGAGATGCAGAGAAAAAGATGCAAAGAGCAAAGGGCAAGTACAGCAGTGATTGGCGGTGGAGCTAGAAGAGACCCTGAGGGCATGTGAGGCTTTCCTTTCCCTCCCCTTAAGCTGAAGGCTGGGAGGCTGATGCCCTGGGATATACAGGGGGCAGATGGGAAGTCGATCTGGGCCCTAGGAGATCACGATGGATGACCCTGGAGATAAAGATGACCATGCATATTCACATCTGTCCCAAAGCTGCTCTCCAGTTCTGGAATCTTCCATAAAACTCAACAAAGCCTTCCCAAGTCCCCAATATTCACTCTAGAGAACAGGTTTTCTTCTGTGTTTGTCTTTTAGGAAGGAAAAGGAAGATTTGTTCCCAGTCATTTCTCAATTCCCTCATCTGAAACTAGAGACAGGAATTCTATTTCTCAGGGGGATTATGAGGATAAAGGGGTGTAAGAACACACCTTGCATAATGGCTGGCTCAACATAGGACTCAAAAATACCTTGGTGTCTCTTCAGTCTTTCAGTCTGGTCTTCTTTTAGAAAGTGTGCATCTCCTACCTGCCTTTCCATCTACTATCTTGACAGAAACCTGGGGAAACAGTTATTCTCCCTCTGCTTCCAAACAAAATGTTGCTAATACCTGGGGAGGTGGCAGAGCACTGAGGAAGGAACTGGAAGTCCTAGAGACAACTCTGTCCCCTGTCTCCAGTCTCTTTAGTGGGAACTGCTGGTCCAGGGACTAAGTCATATATATATTCTTACCTTGAGAAGTGGAGCAGCAGGTGGCACCGGACAGCTCTTGCTGGTGTGAATGGGTGGACAGTATATGGAGAGTCTTGCCCTCCTTGCCTGCATGGTGGGAACTGTGTCCTCTTCGCAGCTCCTGGGGAGTACCTGGCAGGTGGCAACCCCTCTCCTCAGCATGGGCCTGTCCGCCGCATGGGCCAGGGTGGCTAGTGAAACTGAGCATCCCAAAGCAGTCCAAGACTGCGGGTCTGTGCCCCACGGTTCTCGGGAGGCAGTCACGACCGGCCAGTGCTTCCAGTCCATGGATGGATGGCCACTCCCACTGCTCATACTGGGAGCTGGGCTAGGAAGTCTGCATGACAGGGGCTGGAGCCGGCCACATTTCCTGGAGGCAGGGGCCAGGGAACGCCTGTGATGTGGAGTTCTGCAAAGGCCACCCCTCCTTACATCCAGATCCCGAGGCTTTTCCTCTCCCTCCTCCTCCTGCTGCGCAGAGTAACCGAAAGCAGCTGGTTCCTCTGTCCCACGGCCCTCCGTCTGCAGCAGGCTCGAGGGAGGAGCAGCCCAGTCCTGCGGGTGCCTGAGGTCCCAGCCTGCCAAGATGCCTGTCCTGGGCCTTGGGAAAATGTGTCCTTCTTCCAGGCCCCCTGGGGTTGCTGTCCACAGGGCGGGGTGAGCTCGAGCAGGGGGGGCCTGCAGCTGGATGAAAAGGAAGGAAGTTTTCATCTGCTGGTGGTGAGGCTGCTCAGCCATTTCCTCCAAGGGGGTAGGGCCAATCCTTGCAGGGGTTGAGTGTCAGATCTCAGAACCCAGGGATGCAAACGCCAGCAGCTGTGGGCAGATGTGTCTCGGCTTCATGGTAGACAAACTAACTGCCAAAGGAAGCAAAGGACACACTTTAAGACCCAGGAGGCATCTTCAAGGAGCAGGGATCTGGGATGTTGGCTGGGCCTGAACTGGGTACTCACTTCTCGATCTAGGATTGAGGGGTGGGAGGATGTTATGCCAGCAAGGCATGGGGCAGATTTTCTATGGATTCTGGAGACAGGTAAAGGAGATTCCTGGAGCCCTCAGTGGCTATTTCAGGCTTTTGATAATCTTTCTACACCATTTGTAGCGAGGCAACCAGGTACAAGAGGGTCGGGGGCCAGGAGGCTGGCAGGCCTCCTAGCTCCCAGTGAATCATTACTCTTGGGACTCTCTCTGGTATTGTCTCATGGTCTCTCCACCGCACACCATCCTCTGTGATGCTGCCCTTATAGGCTCAGCCTCCAGGCTCAGGTATCCCTACTTACACATGCCCACACCAGGCTCCAGGTGTCCGCCATCAGGCATGCGTGCCCTGAGTCCACACTCCCAAGCATTGCTGCTACATTCAAGGCCACAGGTGATAGCCACAGAGGCCAACAGCACAAAAGCCTGAGCCATCTTCATTTACCCTACAGGGATAATGAGGATTTGTTTTCTCTCACCCTCATATGTCTGATGGAACTCCTTTTTCTTGATGGTTCTCATTCTATCCCTGTTATCTGGTGTCTGACCTGTAGGATGCTATGTGATTGATAGGTGAAACCTTCAATAAACTGCAAAATGTCCTTTTAATCTACTGGCCTGCATTAATTTCTACTAAACACATGAAAGAGCTCTGTGAAGTATGACATACAGCGATAAATAATTTCATATTTTGATTAATTTCTACTTTCAATCCTGTGGTTTCTAGGGAATTCCCCAGGGTAACTCCACAGCCCTACATCAGCATATTTGGCATCACAAAAACAAAACAAAAAAAAAAAGGAGCCTCCCTGGTGGCGCTCAACCGTGGCACTGTGAAGCTGTCCCCAGCCTCTGCAGCATCGGGTTCGATCCCTGCCGGCGGTGGGTGAGAATACCACATGGTGAAGCAGACCTCTCCTGTCTCATCTGCTGCTCCCCTCAGCAGTGTATTTCTTCAGTCTGACTGTTCTGCTCCCTGCTCTGTCTCTGGTGAATCTTCTCACCCTCCCGCACATCTGGCCTGTACCCCGGTTCTTGTATAAAAATAAATAAATCTTTTTTAAAAAACAGGGAAATAGCAATAAAAGGAGAAATGAAATAAGAAAAAATATCCAGGTAACAAATCAGGGAGGTTTTTTGTTTGCTGTTTTTAACTAGCTTCTTAATCTGTGAGAATAGCAAATCACCTGAAAATTCATTCAGAGTTCCCATTCTGAGTATTACCATCTGTTCAAGAGTTGTCAGGATGGAAAACAAACTTTTGAGTCCTGCTGACCTTGTTCCTGGGGAAAGTAGGGTATATGTGTGTGTTGGAGGTGGAGGAGGGGATACCTGTCACTTTGAACTTGACTGAAAGGGAACCAGGAAACTATCCTGAGCATGTGGCTGGGTATGTTGACTGCTCTGAGATCACTCCCTCTCTCTATCACCTCCTGCCCCTCATATTATAAGCACCCAGGAAGTAGTTGACCCTGGCTAACCACCACTAGTCCACTAGTCAAGGTGAGTTTCTGGAAGTTCTTAGGATGGGTGGTTGGGACTCTGGATGCTTTTCCCTTTTTAACATCACACAGGTCTTCCCCTACCTCATTATAACTTCCCTGATCACATTTCCAGACAACTGACAAAGGAGTTAAGATACTTCCTTAGCATTTGGGAATCTTTTGGAGGCTGGGGTTCTGCAGGAGATGTTAGGGTAAACACCAGACATTTCTCTGAGTCTACAATGTGGCCATATGACTTTGGGCAAAGTACTTAATCTCTTTGATAATCAATTTCTCTTCTCGAAGATGAGATCTCAATACCTACTGCATAGGGTTGTTGAGAGGATTAAGTGAAAGAATATAAAGGGCTACTTAGTGTAGTATCTGCCACATATGGTTTCTCGATAAATGTTAACCACTCTTAGAATTTATACTTAGACACTTCTGAGATTGAGAGAAAATTGTTTGGCCCAGTGGAACAATTTGAGCAGGTTTTTAGTGCTTCTTATCTGATGGATAAGCACGTAAGCACCAAGGAACTAACTGGAATGAGGAAAGGTTAGTGGTGAATTTGGGACTGGAGATACATGTATGAGTCTTGATATAATCATATATTAGCTGTGACAGCAAGTTCTGAATCTCAGTGGACTTTTTATAAATAAATAATGAAATAATTTTCTGCTCTTCCAGACTGACAGAATTTTTTTGAAGGATAAGTGAGATGATCTATGTAAGAGAACTTTGTGAAACCCAAATTAATATATATTAAATCTTTGTATCAGGATGGTGTTGTCAAAATATTATTCATAATAACACTAGATGAAATAATTGTCTCTCATTTCTCTGAAAACTCAAGATTACTTTCCATGAAAGGATTCTAAGTTGACTTTGTGTCTTTCCACCACCACTCACCTTTGGGATTCATAAGGTGTATGAGCAAACAGCAGATAATTTAAAGTATATTTTTGCTAGCGATTTCTTATCACTCTTAGAGAGAAAAAGGACATTACAGAATCTTAACAAGGGTGGAGTGGGGAGTGGGCACTGGAGAGTGATATCAGAGACCTTATTTCTCTTATACCTTTTGACAACCTTAGGAAGTGGGCAGCATGAGCCTCCTTTTAAGAATGAAGAAAGACAGTAAGGAGATGAGATAACTGGCTTAAATCAACCTGGTTAGGGAAGAGGTGGCTAAAGACTCTATCTGGTCTAGCTCTTGCCAATCCTCTTTATGACTGGTGGACCCAGCACACACAGCTTGTCCAATCTCTCTGCTCCTCCTATCCCCAAAGATTGGCTTCTCAGGAAAGATTCACCCACCCCACTCATGTGCCTCTGCTGACCAGGAACTTTATCCTCTCTAAAGCTATTTTACCACTACTTTTAACTGCTTAAATGATTCAAGATTATAGAAAAAACTGTACCTTATCAAAATCTTTGTCTGAGTAATTCTGTCAGGAGTAGGGATTGCAGAGAACAAGTGTTAGAGGTTCGTGTCCCAGATCTCAAGGGTTCCTGGAAATATTCCATTCAGAGTTTCAAGTCAAGGGTGTCACAACCTGCCTCTTAATGCTCATTTTTCTCTCAGAAGGTAGAGTCCACACCTGTCAGTCCCTGGTGGAGAGGCCCCTCAAGTCACTGTACCCACTTTGGTTGTGACCTGCTAGGCAGTTACAGCCTGTTAGGAAGAAAGGAAGGTATTGACTTATCTCTCCTGCTGTAAGGATAGGTTTGAAAAATGCATTCTTTTTTTTTTTAAGATTTATTTATTTTTATACAAGAACTGGGGTACAGGCCAGATACGTAGGAGGGTAAAAGGATTCACAGGAGACAGAGCGGGGAATAGACAGGCAGACTGAAGAAATACACTGCTGAGGGGAGCAGCAGACAAGACAGGAGAGGTCTGCCGTGCCATGTGGGACCCTCACCAGCCAGGATCGAACTGGCGCTGCAGAGACTGCGGACGGCTTCACAGTGCGGCGCTCAACCACCTGTGCTACCAGGGAGGCCCAGAAAATGCATTCTTGAATCAAGAAAGAATGAGACGGACCTCCAGGGTGGTGCAGCAGGCTGAGCGCCGCGCTGTGAAGCTGTCCGCAGCATCTGCAGTGCAGGTTCAATTCCCGAGTGGCCAGGGTGTGGCAGACATCTCCTGTCTCGCCCGCTGCTCCCCTCAGCAGTGTATTTCAGTTGTCTGGCTGTTGTGCTTCCCACTCTGTCTCTGGTGAATCCTGTCACCTTCCCATGCCTCTGGCCTGTACCCAAGCTCTTGTATAAAAATAAAAATAAATCTTTAAAAAAAAAAGAAAGAAAGAATGAGAAAAGGCAGAGGTAGGAATGGAGCATAGAACTGGTGGAGCACGGACAGAAATGAAACCTGAAGGGCCAGGAAGGAATGAAGAGGCTGAGCGAGGGCATGTCAACGGCATGGACATCAGGATCAAACTGGGAGACGTGACCTAAGAGAGCCAAGAAATGCCAAGAATAAGCATGATCATTCCTACCCCTACACTATCAAATAAGGCTTCAGTGTGGTAGCTTAGTTTCCTCCATTATTATAAAGGGATTTGTGTAACTGAAATTGTGTACCAGTGATGGCGATGATGGTGATAATAGCTACTATTTATGCCTGATGTAATGTCTACTTTATGTCTGCTATCTGCCTGACACGGCATTGGGCATTTTATATGTATTACTTCTAATTCTCAGGACAATGTAAATACTAGATCCTCTGCTTTAAAGACACAGAGGCATGAGGTTTGAGGTGTTTATGCTTTGAGAAGTAGCCAGAGCCCAAGGCTACAAGTCCTCTACTTAAGCTCTGGTTGTTCCAAATTGTTCTTCAGTGAAACCATCTTCATTGTGATTTACTGGAAACTGCTTTCAAAAAAACTTGATGAGATGAATAGAAATTATTTCTATGTACACATCTAATTAAGTAATCAGAGACAGTGGCCTGTTCTACTGAAGTTGGTAATTTTATCTAGTGCCTAGCACTTCCTGTTTGCTATCCAATTTAGTCCTCAAGGAGTACTAAAGAAAGAAGAGATGGGGCCTCCCTGGTGGGGCAGCAGTTGAGCACTGGGTTGCACAGCGATTGAGCGCTGAGTTGTGAAGTTGCCTGCAGCCTCTGCAGTGCCAGTTTGATCCCCGGCCACCAGGCAAGGGTCCCACATGGCGCGCAGACCCCTCCTGCCGCCAGCTGCTCGCCTCGACAGTGTACTTAGGTCCTTCTGCCTGTTCTGCTCCCTGCTCTGGCTCTGGTAAATTCTCTCACCCTCCCGCGCTTCTGACTGTACCCTGTGCTTGTATAAATAAATAAATAAATCTTTTTAAAAAAAGATAATAAATAAATAAACTTAAAAGAAAGAAAGAAGAGATGGAAGTCCAGGTAG